GGTTTGCATTTTGTAGCTTTCATTATCATAATGTGATGTGCTGCAAATTGAATATCTTTACAGAAAGCTTAGAACAGCATGGCATTTCCTACTAAGATAGCCTACTGACATGTTCCACATAATCTTATCAATTCCTGTATCTGTGATGATAACAAAATGTCATTATGCAATATGTTAGTGCTTATAAAGCACTAAGTACATAGGATATTTTAAACCTGAAAGATGAGTTCATGATGAGTGAGATTTAAATAACCATATTTTTAATACTCTCAATGTGAAAGTAAATTTGATTTCTTCATGCTACACACATTTCATAGCCATCAAAAACCCTTCTTTCCTCTGAGATCATCATTTTATTTCTGAAAGTAGGGAAATATATTAAAGAAAGAGGATTCCTTAATAATAACGCTTCCAAAAGTGTATGTTCATAGATTTATATATAGATAACCCACTGAAGGTAAGTACACATTTTACCTAGATGGAAAAATAAATGAAACATTTTCTAAAAATGTGTGCAAAAATCGTTGCTCTAGCAAATAATCTGAATAGATTTCTAGAAACAAAAACCCTTTTAACTGCTCTTCTCACATTGGTTAGTTAACATGCTTAGATCTTTTTTTTAAAATATATTTTTATTGATGTCAGAGAGGAAGGGAGAGGGAGAGAGATATAGAAATATCAATGATGAGAGAGAATCATTGATCAGCCACCTCCTGCACACCCGACACTGGGGATTGAGCCTGCAACCTTGGCATGTGCCCTGACTAGGAATCGAACCAATTCCCACTTCTTAGGTCCATGCTTAACCATTGAGCAACGCTGGCCAAGCCATGCTTAGATCTTTTATACAGTAAATATTCTAGGTAGATTTTTTTATATTTTCATTCTTAGCAGACTATTAAATAAAAATCACACTCTTAATTAAATCAGTCATTTAATTATCTTTAAAAATCATGAAAAATCTCTGTTGGATTTTATTTAATACAAAGTTAAATCAGCAAAGGTGGAGGTGGAGGTGGAAGAGGTTATAGGGGTCTAAATGGTGATGGGAAAAAGAAAAGAAAGAAAACAAAAACAAAGCTAAATCAGCAATTTAGTAAGCTCATCATTACTAACTACCACTGATAATAAATAATGAGCTCAAACATTTCAAAAAAATTTTGGACATCTTAAAGTATATCTATTTTCTTCAATGGAAAAGATAATTTCTGCTGGCCATAACACAAAAGTCTTTATTAGTTACATGATTACATGCAGTAATCATAAAGTACTGCATGATTGAGCTGATCATGACATTTCAATCTGCTGTTTGCATATGTACACAATCTAAACTAATTTTAGTTTAAACTTAAAACTTATTTGCTGTGGGATGCACAGAATAGTAACATAAATAAAAATTAATAAATATGAAAATTAATCCATAATTCTAATACTTTAACAAATCAAATCAATTTCAGTTTTTAGGGCATCTTAGCATTCTTTGTTCTTATGCATACATAGACTTTTCCTGACAGTATAGGTAAGTTTTGGTTTTTAAATAGTCATAAAGTTTTCATAAATATAATGAAAATAAATAAATTATATATGTTACCATGTATCACTTCCCCACTCTTAGATGCTACCTTTTTCATCCCCACCTTCAACCCATGATTTTTGGTACTACCATCAAGCACCAACATTTTCATTTATGAGTCTTTCCCCTTTATTTGTGATGTTTCTTCCTTCAGACAAATTAGTTTAAATATAGACTTACAGACATGAATATTTTGGCTTTTATATTTCCAAGTGCTTTCTAAATTTCACTACCACCAACAGCAACAATATATGTATCTATGATTTGCACTGCTACCTTCACCAGCACTTAAGTATTAGTGTTTTTCATTGAATAAAGGAGCACTAATTATTGAGTTACATTTCCATGATTATTGAGTTGTATTGATTTTACAGAGAGGAATGGAGAGTGAGAGAGAGAAACACTGATCAGTTGCCTCCAGAACATGCCCTGACCAGGAATCAAACTTGCAACCTTTCAGTGTATGGGGCGGCACTCCAACCAACTGAGCCACATGGCCAGGGCTCATAAGTATTGTTTTAATCTGTATTATTACCATTGTTATGAGATGCTTAAAATATTTTCTAATCATATTTTCCATTATATAGATCAGTGATGGTGAACCTATGACATGCCTGTCAGAGGTGACACGCGAACTCATTTTTTTGGTTGATTTTTCTTTGTTAAATGGCATTTAAATATATAAAATAAATATCAAAAATATAAATCTTTGTTTTACTATGGTTGCAAATATCAAAAAATTTCTATATGTGACACGGCACCAGAGTTAAGTTAGGGTTTTTCAAAATGCTGGCACGCCGAGCTCAAAAGGTTCGCCATCACTGATATAGATTATCTTTAGAGTGTGTGTCTTAATATTTATTGAAAAAATGTATTTTTTAAAACTCTATCTAGAAAGTAACCTATATCATATTAACTGCAAATATTTTTTTCCGATATGGATTGTTTTACTTTTAAGCTTTTTTTGTAGTCGATAAGTTTAATATTTTTATATTATTAAATGTGTTAAGTATATTGCAATGTGAGATTTTTCTGTTACTTCAAGGCTCATATAATGATTTACTAAATGTCTGGAAAATATGCACCTTCCTCCATGATTTGTTTTTTTTTTAAAGAAAATTTATCTAATTAATCCATCTGGAATGTATTTTGGTATATGTTGTGAGATGTGTACCTAAGTTACTTTATTTTAAAACTCTATTAAATTTATTAAATACGCCTTTCCCTTCCCATTGTTTTATAATGCTCTATTTTTATATATTAAATTCTTTTATATAACATGTTGAGATTTTCCATACTTTCTTAGATCTAGCCAGTATCAAAAAAGTTAAATTATATAATTTTCTCCTATGATTTGATGTCTGGAATGGCTTTTCAACATTTATAGATTCTTTAAAAAATATACCTTTATTCCTATTAGCTTATTTTTCCAAATAGATTTTATCATTCTATCACCTTCTAAGAAAATCCAGTTGAGAATTTTATTGAGATCATACTCTTATATTTATAAATTAATGTGAAAAGCTTTACTTATAGTAATAACCAGAAAGGTAACCTCTCTTCACTAATTCAAGCATTCTTTTATAACTCACTAGAGGCCTGATGCACGAAGATTCATGCAAGAATGGGCCTTCCTTCCCCTGGCTGCCAGCACCGCCTTCGCTCCTGCCGGAGCTGCCTTTCAGCCTTTCCATGCTGCACAGAGGCCTGGAGCAGTGCTGAAGGCCTGCGAGATGAATCAGCATCCCGCCCGCCCCCAGCCACTGGCACCTGCGTATGCAATTTAACCTGCCATCTTTTTGGGGTTAATTTGCATACTCACTCCTGATTGGCTGGTGGGTGTCACAAAAGTGGGGTCAATTTGCATCTTTCTCTGTTATTAGTGTAGATAATGAATATTTTAAAGATATGTTCAATATTATATAATTAAGGGGCAAAATGGGATAATGAAAAAGTTGAAGACTATGGAGTGGGACAAATATATGTATCTCTAGGTTCAAATCCTGTGTGATTTGGGGCAAGATGTTTAGCTTCTCTGAGCCTCAGATGTATCCTATGTATATTGAAGGGAGTGGTACTTCTAGGATGGCTATATAAAGCCATTGGAGCATAACATATATACAATAAATGTTAGCTATGATTTTTTATTATAGCATGTGTTTAGAATTTGACATTTTACAAAATTCTTTCATGTGTTTTTATCTCATCTGCTCTGTTGATCTTCACAAAACCATGTTAGTTGATAATGTCATTGTTATTATCACTATTAATATTAAGAAGAAATTGGTAAAATTACTTCTTTTGAATCAGAAACATAAGATCATATCCTCATAACATATGTAAATGCATTTAAATCACCTACATCACACAATAACCTTGTCCCTAAATATTTTGAGATTTTTCCCATTATAATAGTTGCAATTGCTCTTTCACTATAATTTCTTTTATTATCATTATTTTTTCTTTCACTATAATTTTGATTAGTTTTGTTTATTTAAATGAACAATGTTGATTTTAGTATATTTGTTTCATGTTCAACAGTTATTATTGAGTCCCTTATCTCCTTTTAAAAATATGGTTAATTCTTTCGGTTTTCTGGGTTGTCATATTTTCAAAATAATTCTATATTATAGAATCATATTAACATACTCAGCCACTTAATTGAAAAATGAAAAAAAAACTAAGACTAGTTATCTATCATGATATGATATATTCCAATCTGCCTGTTAGAAACAAAAATTCTATTTATGAGATTATTTATCTGTTACTAATAAGTTTCCTTTAGCTTGTAGGTTGTATTACTTTATGAATTTTTCTCATCATTCTTTCAAACCTCATAATACCTTGACTGATAGGAAGATATGATGTTACAGTGTGGAAGAAAAGGAATCAAAGAGAAACCAAACATTTTTTTTCTTCTTTGTGGTTTTTAAATATTATTCTTGGGGATGAGAGAATAAAGGGATGAGTAGGAAAGAGGACTAAACTGCATGTACTTGCACACTTGGGAGATTTTTGCTGTTGTTTTGTTCTCTTAATGCATAGCTGGCTGAGCTCCTTTAAATCCTAACCTAGACCTTCAATTCCCCAGAATATTGTCAGGTATAGGAGGATAAGTTATTTTGTGCCTTTACTTGTCTTTTCCCATCTACTACCAGAATAGAGTGCTTCCTTCAAAAAGTAATAATAAAATGTCTTTTTTTTTTCATTGAATCACTTGGTCAACAAAACCAAATAATCCACTACCAACAGCAACCTAAAGGAATCCACTGTTCCCGCCGACATATTTCATTTTTACTTAAGCATGAATTGTTTTTAGATCAATTATAAAAAAATGGTAATGAAGGCTAAAAAAATGACCAAGCTGATACAATTATTTTCACTGCAGACCCAGACAACTGGCTTCAGGTACGGATTCTGTACTCACGGGGGAAATGATTAGAGGTGGATGGATTGACACTGTCCCCACTGTCAGCACTTTCACTGCTGGAAACTTCATCATCAGATTCCCGCACGGAGGAGCAGGGCGAGGAGCCGTCAACTTCTTCAAACTTCCTCTTTAAAATTCCACTCATAGCTGCAGCGCTGTCACATGTACCTGGAACAGGAATGGGCGCAACGAAGCGTTGAAATATGTGACCGCTGGATGTGCAGCCAAGGTCCCCAAAGTCATGTCTAAGTGGCTTTTTATACATGAGCTTTACCTTGGAAAGATCACCAAGCAGGTTTTTTCAAAAAATATCTTCAAATTAACAAAAATGACTTTACATTAAATATGGGCATTTGACCATTTGCTTACCAAAATGTACAATTTTTTTGGACATAGTTCCTCTTATTGGAATACCTCTATTCCCTTTTGTTGGCAAATTAAGAAAATCCACCGGAGTCCATGAAATTCTGTAATGAAAATAAATGCCAGTGTCCCCCAAAGTCTTAAATGATTACTGCTTGTAAAAAATTCATCTGGAAGGAACACAGATAAGTATGCACAAATGCCATGCTCAAGTTTTGAAATGAAAGAACCTAATTAGCTGAGTACAGTGAAGCATATGAAACCAGCGCTAAATTTTAGGTAGTTTCCATTTCAATATTGCAATAAGGTGCAATGTGTCCCCATGATACCTGCTTGCTGAAGCTGTTGCCACTGTTTCAGGAACTATCTAAGGCTGTTTACCTGGGAGATAGCACTAATTGGCGAGGGGTGGGGTGAGGGCATGGTTTCTCCTAAGTCCTTTTTCTACGATGAATGGGCTTTCCCTTCTTCCTGGGGCTTTCTGCTCTTTCCCCATTTACCTTGACATATGTACAGTCAGCTAAAGGACAGAAACTTTCCTTGCAGTGAAAGAATATTTTGGAGAAAACCTATGTATAAATTAGCTTAGACGTATGTACTTGGCTTTACATTGCTAAATTAGATTAACTTAGCGAAAATGTTATCAAGCCAATCCCATGCATTCTATCTTCCATCCCATTTGTCAGCTCATTTGAATTCTCATTTGAGTTCTTGAAGCCATTCTCTCCTTCTCTTGCCAAAGCGTAGCCATCAGCCCTTTGATCAGGAGGAAGCAAGACCCTTAAAGCTATTCTGATGCCCACTTAGTTACATTACCCAGCTATTGCTCTCAGAAATCTCTGAACTTACCCCTCCTCTGCACAGATCACAGAGCAAGCAGCTTACCTAGATCCCCTTAGTTGGGCCAGCTCTTCAACACTTAATTCAGTAGTTTTCTTTCACAGAGGGCTACTTGGATTAGCAGCCTCAGCATCACCCAGGAGGGAGACTGTTAGAATGCAAATTCTCAGGCCCCTCTCCAGCTCATCTGAATCAGAAACTCCCAGGGGGCGGAGCCTAGCACTCAGTGCTTCAGGAAGGCTTCCAGGTGATCTTGATGAGCACTCAAACTGGAGGACCACTTGTCTCATTCTAGTCTGCTCTCCAGCAGCTTCTCCCTGGACTTGTCCTTTCTTGGGCATGTCCACACACCAGCCCTAGAGAGTCACATAACCCAGCACTCAATTCCTAGTCAAAAGGCCATCCGTGATGTGATTTCTAGTGAAATTATTAGACATGTATGAGATGTCTCCTAAGTCTATCACTGATTTCAATGTACTCCACTCACCTACACATGTGTTGAGGAACTGGTATGAATATGTTTGACTTCTTGGGTGGAGTAGGGGATATAAAAGGGAGTAGAATATGTTACTTGCCCATCCACTAGGCTGAGCTCTATCGAATTGTGAACACTCCCAAATTCACGTTCTGCAGCCTGTTCTAGTAATCCATGTCTTTTTGCACTTACATTAACAATGGAGAAAACTGATCACAATAAGACGATATTGCATTGTCCACACTTTTGAGAATAAAATCTTTATTCTTACTCTTATTTTACCACTATTCAGATTAGTATATTATTTTCTCCAGCTAGAAGAGTGTGAAATGAATAAAGTGTTCATGCAAATCTGAGCATGGAAAAGAGAAAGATATTTTAAGTAAGTTCTTAAAATAAAAGTAGGACGGGATATAAATTTTAAAATGGTTCACTTCAAACAAGATGCAAAGAAATTCATGAGGGAGAAACTCCAAGACACAAAGTAATACAAGATGAAAACCTATTTTTTAAGTATATTTTTATAATAAAATATTGCAATGGGAACAGTTAAAAACCACATCATTAAGCTTCCCCAGCTTCCTTAGGAAAGCCAGGGTCCTCAAGACACTAAATTGGGCCACAGGGAACCATGTTCCAATATGGTGAGATGAGTACCTTTGTCACTTCCTCAAGAATGAGAGGGGGAATCTTGGGAGGGGTGATAAGAGAATTAGAAGTCATTTCCCCCTTTGTTATTACATTTGGAACCTGCAAGACTTTAAACCATAGAGTTGAAGGTTGGATATAATTTCTATATACATTTTCAGGAGTGAAAAAGCCTAAGCCAGACCCATGTCAAAGAAAAAAAAAGGCACTGCCTGCTTAGAGTAGAATTAGTGCCTATGCTTAAAATAAAAATGTTAAGTAATTACAGGAGGGCATAACCTTATACCCATGAAATTGGTTAAGTGCTAAATTACTTGTGCAACAACCAAGCATAATATCTATCTGGTTTCACTGCCTTTTAAAAAAATGTGAGTGTAACAAGATGTCATCACAAATTGTGAGGGTCAAATGACCTACTGCTTACCAGTATCTTAACCTTGGTTTAGACCTAATAGTGGAGTGGTTTCCTGCTACATCATCTATACTATCTCACTAGGGAAGAAAAGAATACAAGAATTTAGGCAGAAGATAAAGCTGGGTAGGTATTCATTTATTTTAAATGTGAGCAGCTGAAAATCTAAACCCCGATAACGGCCATTTTTTTACACAGCTACGGTTTTCCAATTCATAAAACACATGCTAGTCAAGGGCATCACCATTTCTCACTTGGACTAGGACAGAAGCCTCCTAATTATTTTTCCCCCATCCACTACTGTTTGCTTTAATGTGTTTTCCAGGTTGCGGGCAGAAAGATAAATTTAACATGCAAATCTGATCATGTCAGTCTGTAGTTTAAAACTCTTAAGTGGCTTTGGATTGCCTTAGGATAAAGTCCGAAATCCTCAGATGGCTTATAAAATCCGTAACAGTCTATTTTGGCTAATCTCTTCATCTTCATTTTGAGCCACTGACCCTGTTGTCAATATTTTAGCTCGAATGATCTCTCAGTTTCTCCACCCTGCCATTTCTCTCTGGCAGCTAGGCCTTTTCCTTGGTTCATTTTAAAAATATTTTCCCATGGCACTCACCACTTTCTAAATCCATGTTATTTATTTATGTGTTCCTGCATAAAAAAACAATGTTTATTGTGTATTATTTTTGTGTTTAGCTAAACTATTTAAGGGCAAAGATCTTTGTTTTCTTTACTAGTGTTCCAGGGGTCACAGCCAATGCCTTATATATTATAGGAGATTAATAAATATGTGTTTGATGAATGAATGAAACCTTTCCATTTCCACACTTCAATTTCTCTATCAGTGTCTCATTTCTTCGCTGGACTGAAAGCTCCAGGAAGCAGAAATCATGTTCATCTCATTCACCACTCTCTCCTGACTAACAATATATCTGGGTATATTTGATTGAAAGAGAATCAAAATGAGAGATAACATTGACCTCAAAACGTCATATATATATTTTTTGCTTGCGAGCAACCTAAAAGCCAATTCTAGCTAACTTAACACAAAGACATCTGTTGAAAAGATACTAAACTAGTTCATGCAATCTGAGACAGAGCTAAAACCTAAATGCATTTCCTCTGAGGAAATGTAGGAATAAGGACAGCTTCTAGGATTCTGACTAGAAATTCCTTGATCTTTTCTCTAAAATGCTATTACCAAGTTTAAGCCCAACAACTGTTCTCTATGTCTTGCCTTTCAAGTTTAATGTTTCAAGGGGTGAAGAACGTTTTAGCCCACCTTGGGTCAGGTGCCAGGCTTTGATCGTTCAACTACATGACCAGTAGGCAGGGAGCCACCCAATTAGGTAATACTCCAGAGACTCACTCAGAGGCTTCAATAAGTTCAATTGCATTTCAAAGTCACTAGTCTCTCCTTGGCTAATACAGATTTATCTTATTTTTTCATTCATTAATATGGTCCATGATTTCACCACTTGGACAGCTTCCTCTTTTCCTGTGCCCACATGCCCTTTCTATTGTCAAATTTAATCAATAACTACTTTATTTTAAAACTCTGTTATCTTGGATATCTGTTGTTGTTGATTAACATATAGACTTATTTCATATTTGTATTAGATGTAACCATTGCTCAGGAGCCTCTCAGCACATTTAATGAAAAAGTAGTAAAGAAGTATAAGTGCTTCCAAATCAAGAAGTTAGATAAAAATGGACATTTCAATGCCTTTGGAAGAAGAATGGCAGCTAAACTTTGGGTAGCACTCTTTTGATATCCCAAATATTACATAGCTTCCATAGGTAACACATTGAGCTCTTACTGTCCCATTTATAGTCATCTAATGTTTAATCCTTTTTTCTTCTGACATTTGCCCCTATTTCCTGATGCTTTGCTATGTATTTTAAGAAAATGACCACAGGAAAAATGCCTTAAGAATATCATGGATCCCTCAATTCTGAGGAGCAAGTCATCTGATTTGCAGAAAAACCACTTTAGGGTTTGCCAGACTTAGCAAATAAAAATATGACACCCAGACAAATTTGAGTTTGAGGTTAAAAAATACCATTTGGGATATATTTATACTTATTATTTGTTGCTTATCTGAAATTCAGATTAAATTGGGCATCCTGCATTTCTTTTGACAACCCTAACTGGTGCTCTTGATTCTTGGTGAGAAAATAGAATGACTATGAAATCAACAAATACAGTTACATAAGAAATGCCACCTACCAACTGACTACCATACAAGAATATCTCTGTCCCTAACCAATCAGATTAAACACAGTAAATAAAACATTTACAATCATTAGGGTAAATCATAAATTTATCAAAGAATTTACAAAAAAGGTGACAGGTGGGTGGTGGTTAATAGGTAATGGTCAGGCTTGGCCTATCACTGATGCAGAAAATATATATTTAAAAGGAGGTAA